GTTGTGTAAATAAAGCCACGGGTGCTGCATAACTAGAAGCCTCTCTGAGCTTTATTGGGGTAGCCAGTGGGTCCCAGGAAGAGGGGCGGGCAGAGGACTTGTCACAACGTAGTATTGGTTAGCAGTGGGTGCTTTGTGCGTGGGGATGGTTAGCAGTGGGCTGTGTGTGCATGCCGGGGGTGGTTGGCAGTGGGCTGTTTGTGCATGTAGAGGGTGGTTAGTAGAAGGTTTGTGCATAGGGGTGGTTAGTGATGGGCTGTGTGTGTGTGGATGGGTTAGCTGTAGGCTGTGTGAGTGTAGGGCATGGTTTGCGGTGGGCTCTGTTTGAGCGCAGGGTCTGGTTAGCGGTGGACTTGTGTATGGACGGGGTGGTTAGCATTGGGCTGTGTGTGTGTGTAGGGGTGGTTAGAGGTGGGATGTGTGCACATAGGGGACGGTGAGTGGTGGACTGTGTGTGTGTGTGTGTGTGTGTAGGAGGGTGGTTAGTGGTGTGCTGTGTCTACATAGTAGCGGTTAGCGGTGGGCTGTGTGTGCGTGGGTGGGGTTAGCGGTGACCTGTGTCTATGTAGTGGGGCTTAGCGGTAGTCTGTGTGCATGGGGGATGGTTAGACATGGGCTGTGTGTATGTGGGGGCTCGCTAGCGGTGGGCTGTGTGTATGTGGGGGCTCGCTAGCGGTGGACTGTCTGGGTGCAGGGATGGTTAGCTGTGGGTTGTGTGGTGCATGGCGGGGGAGTTAGGAGTGAGCTGTGTGTGCATCAGGGACAGTAGCAGTGGGATGTGTGCACATAGGCATGATTAGCAGTGGGGTGTGTGTGTGTGTGTTGGGGTGGTGAGCGGAGGGCTGTGTGTGCATAGTGGGGTAGCAGTGGGCTGTATGTGCATCAGGGTGGTTAGTGGTAGGATGTGTATGTGCATTGAGTGGTTAGCTGTGGGCTGTGTTTGCATGGGAGGGTTAGCTGTGGACTGTGTGAGTGTAAGGCATGCCTAGCGGTGGGCTCTGTGTGTGCGTAGGGGGTGGTTAGTGGTGGGCTGTGTGTATGGACGGGGTGGTGAGCGGTGGGATGCATGCGTGTGAAGGGGTGTTTAGTGGTGGGCTGTGTGTGTGCATATTAGTGATTAGCGGTGGGCTCTTTGTGCATGGGGATGGTTAGCAGTGGACTGTGTGCACATGCCGGGGGTGGTTGGCGGTGGGCTGTGTGTGGGGACAGGGGTGGTTAGCAGTGGGCTGTGTGCGTAGGGGTTGGTAGCGGTGGGTTGTGTGTGCACATAGGGTAAGGGCACCAGAATCATTGTACAAGTGGGGGGGCACCAGAGCCAGACCTGGCCTCCCCACTTTTTAACATGGGTGTTGTTCGGTGGTGAGGGAGTGGCATTGGTTAGTGGCGGGCTGTGTATGGGGGTGTGGTAAGCCATGGACTGTGTATTGGGGTGTGGTAGGCAGAGGGCTGTGGTGGGGGCTGGCAGCAGAGGGCTGTGGTGGGGGGTGGTGGCAGGTGGCGGGCTGTGGTGGGGGGTGGTGGCAGGTGGCGGGCTGTGTGTGTGGGGGGTGGTGGCAGGCGGCGGGCTGTGTGTGTGGGGGGTAGGCAGAGGGCTGTGTTGGAGGTAGTAAGCTGTGGGCCGTGTGTCGGGGGTGTCAGGCAGTGGGGTGTGGTAGGCCGTGGGCTGTGTCTGTTGTGTGTGGGGTTTGTGGGCTGTGGGGGGTTGGGGTGGGCTGTGAGTGGGCGTGGGTGACGTGTAGCTATAGGCAGGGTGTTCATGTGAGGCACGGGGTGTCTGCGGAGGGCGGGTCACTGGCTCATGCCTCTTTTCAGTCTCATCTGCACCTCGTCATGCTCCCGCGACACTCGGAGCACAGTCCCTGGATGCCTCCCCCTCCCTCGCTGTGGCTGGCCTGTACGTACAGTGGACCTGCAGTTTCTGGCTGGTGGATCTCTCTGAGTTCTGCAGGGACTCATGATCCACTGTGCAGGTCACCTCCACGTCGTTGTCTTCTTTGGTGACGGTGAACTCAACGTGGCTGGTGACAGTGAAGGTTTTCCCGTTGGAATCTTCCATCACCTCGGGGGCCCCACCTTTGGGGGGCAAAGGAACAGGTGCTATCAGCGTGGGGCCTGCACAGTGCATGGGAGTGAGTCATCTCACCCACAGGCCCCATCTGCACCTCACCGGCTGCTTCAGAGCAAGGGACAGGTGCTGCTAGTGAGGGGAGAACCTCAGCTAGTGGTTAGCTGGTGCCCTGCAGGAGGGTGCATGGTCCTTCCACCAGTTATCCTGGCCTGTCTGACTGGTCCTGAATCCTGGCTCTGGGGCCCCGGGGCCCCTTAGGGCAGAGAATGGCACAGGCAGTGTACTGGGCATAGTGGTTACCAGTCTTCCTTTGCAGTGTCACTGAGCATCCCCTTGGTCGTGGTATGAGGAGGCATGGCTGGAGCCTGACCTGGTGTCTCAGGGCAGCTCGTTGAGTTGCCTCCCACCCTTGTCCTCAGATTCAAACAGCCCCACTGTACTGGCCCTGCTCTCCCTGGTGGGCCCCAACATTCCCCCATGTGGGGTCTGAGCAATGGCCAGGTCACCCGAGAGCTGCCTCCGCATCTCCAGTGTACTGAGTGCTGGTCTGAGCAATGGCCAGGTCACCCGAGAGCTGCCTCCGCATCTCCAGTGTACTGAGTGCTGGCCCCTGACTTAGGGCTCAGCTCAGATCATTTCCCCCCAGGGCACAACACGTTGCCTTGGGCACCGAGTCGCCGCTGGCCCACAGGGGCAGGTCCCTCTAGGGTTCCTCACTCTTTCCCAGCCCTCATTATTACCGAACCGGGCTCTGTGCCGCCTCCCTGCTCCCCCTTAGCAGACTCACAATGCACCCCAATGCTGCAGGACCCTCTGCCACCCACTGCTGCCCATGGCCATGCTGCAAAGGGACCGTGAGTTTTACTCTTTGTTTTCTGTCTGTCTCAGAGATGGGTGATGCTTACCCCTTTGCCCACCTCAGGCCCTGGGGGGCGGCTCCCTCTCTGCAGGCTCAGCCCCAGGGAAAGATCTTCGCTAAGGTGCCACCTGCCTGGAGTGGCCGATTATGCCCCGGGGACAGCAGTGCCCCAGCCTAAGGCTCTGGGCTGGGGCAGCCTCAGCTTTTTACTGAGCAGGGCCAGGTTCTCCCCTTCCGTTGCGGGCCAAGCTGCAAGGTTCAGGCCTTACCCTGCTTCACCAGAGCTGGGCTCTCAGTATGCCCTGGTGCCCTGCAGCCTAGCAGCCAGCACCTACCCTGCAGCTCCTTGTTGCCTTTCTTCCAGCGGAGCTGGGCAGCTGGCTTGCTGCCAGAGGATCTACACGTCAGCTGGGCCGTCTCTGTCTCTCGGATGGGCAGCTCGTAGCCAAAGATTTGAGGGTTCTGGGGGATTCCTGGGGGAGGGGGCAAGAAACAGAGAACGTCTCGTCCCTCCTTCTGAACTGCCCTCCTGATGGCTCCCGAGCACGCGCAGGACAAGGGCAGGCGCAGAGAAAAGGGCAGGCACAGACACACAAGAAGACACACGGATACACAGGCACACGTATACACAACACTGGGGCACATACAGACACGTGCACACACGGACACATACAGACACAGGGACACATGCAGACACACAGACACGCCCAGACACATGGATATCCTAGAATCATAGAATATGGGGGTTGGAAGGGACCTCAGGAGGTCATCTAGTCCAACCCCCTGCTCAAAGCAAGACCAATCCCAACTAAATCATCCCAGCCAGGGCTTTGTCAAGCCTGATCTTAAAAACTCCTAAGGAAGGAGATTCCACCACCTCCCTAGGTAACCCATTCCAGTGCTTTACCACCCTCCTAGTGAAATAGTTTTTCCTAATATCCAACCCAAACCTCCCCCATTGCAACTTGAGATCATTACTCCTTGTTCTGTCATCTAGTACCCCTGAGAACAGTCTAGATCCATCCTCTTTGGAACCCCCTTTCAGGTAGTTGAAAGCAGCTATCAAATCCCCCCTCATTCTTCTCTTCTGCAGATTAAACAATCCCAGTTCCTGCAGCCTCTCCTCATAAATCATGTGCTCCAGCCCCCTAATCATTTTTGTTGTCCTCCGCTGGACTCTCTCCAATTTTTCCACATCCTCCTTGTAGTGTGGGGCCCAAAACTGAACACAGTACTCCAGATGATCTCACCAATGTCGAATAGAGGGGAACGATCACATCCCTCGATCTGCTGGCAATGCCCCTACTTATACAGCCCAAAATGCCGTTAGCCTTCTTGGCAACAAGGGCACACTGTTGACTCATATCCTGCTTCTCGTCCACTGTAACCCCAGGTCCTTTTCTGCAGAACTGCTGCCTAGTCACTTGGTCCCTAGTCTGTAACAGTGAATGGGATTCTTCCGTCCTAAGTGCAGGACTCTGCACTTGTCCTTGTTGAACCTCATCAGGTTTCTTTTGGCCCAATCCTCTAATTTGTCTAGGTCCCTCTGTATCCTATTCCTACCTTCCAGCGTATCTACCACTCTTCCCAGTTTAGTGTCATCTGCAAACTTGCTGAGAGTGCAGTCCACGCCATCCTCCAGATCATTAATGAAGATATTGAACAAAACCGGCCCCAGAACCGACCCTTGGGGCACGCCACTTGAAACCGGCTGCCAACTAGACATGGAGCCATTGATCACTACCCACTGAGCCTGACGATCTAGCCAGCTTTCTATCCACATTATAGTCCATTCATCCAGCCCATACTTCTTTAACTTGCCGGCAAGAATACTGTGGGAGACCGTATCAAAAGCTTTGCTAAAGTCAAGGAATAACACATCCACTGCTTTCCCCTCATCCACAGAGCCAGTTATCTCCTCATAGAAGGCAATTAGGTTAGTCAGGCATGACTTGCCCTTAGTGAATCCATGCTGACTGTTCCTGATCACTTTCTTCTCCTCTAAGTGCTTCGGAATTGATTCCTTGAGGACCTGGCTCCATGATTTTTCCAGGGACTGAGGTGAGGCTGACTGGCCTGTAGTTCCCCGGATCCTCCTCCTTCCTTTTTTGAAAGATGGGCACTACATTAGCCTTTTTCCAGTCATCCGGGACCTCTCCCGATCGCCATGAGTTTTCAAAGATAATGGCCAATGGCTCTACAATCACATCCGCCAACTCCTTTAGCACCCTCGGATGCAGCACATCCGGCCCTGTGGACTTGTGCTTGTCCAGTTTTTCTAAATAGTCCCGAACCACTTCTTTCTCCAAAGAGGGCTGGTCACTTCCTCCACATACTGTGCTGCCCAGTGCAGCAGTCTGGGAGCTGACCTTGTTTGTGAAGACAGAGGCAAAAAAAGCATTGAGTACATTAGCTTTTTCCACATCCTGTCACTAGGTTGCCTCCCTCATTCAGTAAGGGGCCCACACTTTCCTTGACTTTCTTCTTGCTTCTAACATAGCTGAAGAAACCCTTCTTGTTACTCTTAACATCTCTTGCTAGCTGCAACTCCAAGTGTGATTTGGCCTTCCTGATTTCACTCCTGCATGCCTGAGCAATATTTTTATACTCCTCCCTGGTCATTTGTCTAATCTTCCCCTTCTTGTAAGCTTCTTTTTTGCGTTTAAGATCAGCAAGGATTTCACTGTTAAGCTAAGCTGGTTGCCTGCCATATTTACTATTCTTTCTACACATCGGGCTGGTTTGTTCCTGCAACCTCAATAAGGATTCTTTAAAATACAGCCAGCTCTCCTGGACTCCTTTGCCCCTCATGTTATTCTCCCATCTGCAGACACACACTCAGACACACGGATATACCCAGACACATGGATATGCAGAGACACACCCAGATACACAGACACACACAGACACGCATACACATGGGCACATGCAGACACATGGACATGCCCAGACACGGAGCCCTGGCTGGGGGCTCTGCCACTGGCTGCGGAGTGGGAGTGGCTGGATGTGCTCAGACTGGGGCTGTGAGAAGAATCCAGGCCCTGTAGCTTGGAGGGGAGCCCAGGAGCATCCCCAAGGGCTGTGGCCAGGCATCTGGGGGCCGGGGACCCACCCCTCAGCGACAGCAGGGAGCCCAGCTCAGGAGCTGGCAGGGTGGGGGAGGGGAGCGGGCGGGCTGCTGCCAGGCCAGGATCACACTCACTGGGCCCCGTGCGCGAGCAGGCTCTGTCACCCAGGGCACTGAGAGGGTTCCCCAGGGGAAGGGAGTCACAAGCCCTCACCCAGCACGGTGACGAGGGCCTTGGCCGTCCGCACAGGCATGGTGAAGATAGAGCAGGTGTACTCGCCCTCATCTGCCAGCACCACGTTGCTGATGCTGATGGCCAGCTCGTTGGGTGTGGACTTCACGAGCTGGATCCTGTTATCCCGGAGCGCTGGAGCCAGAGCGAGAGGGGTTAGCGATGCTGGCCGGCCAGCTGACCAGCAGGGGCGGGTACGACTGCCGGGGCCGAGAGCCAGCAGGAGCCGCCAGGTCACATTTCAACCCAGCAGCACATCCTCCTGCCTGAAGGGCACTGCTTCCCCTCCCACCATGGGGCACTGCTTCCATTCATCCCGTCCCCATGGGGCACTGCTTCCCCTCCCCCCATCCCCACGGGGGAATGTTTCCACTCCCGACATGGGGCACTGCTTTCCCTCCCCCTGTGGGGCACTGTTTCCCTTCCCCCCCCAGGGCACTGCTTCCCTTCGTCCCATCCCCATGGGGCACTGCTTCCCCTCATCCTCGCAGGGTACTACTGCACCTCATCCATGCCCCCCTCCACAGGTCACTACTTTCCCTCCGCCCCCTTTCCTTCCCTGAAGTACTGCTTCCCCTTTCCGCTGCCCCCCCCTCCCTTGGGGCACCATTCCCTCTCACCCCACCCCTCATGCAGGGGGAAAGGCTGAGGAATGCTCTCTGCAGCCTGTTCCCCTCACAGCCAGTCTAGCCTGAGGCCCAAGGAGCGGCGAGCGGGGCCTTTCCAGGCCCAGCTGGGGCTGCTGACAGTACCTCGTTTCTCCCCAAAGTACAGCGTCTGCTGGGCTGGGTTGGACCACTGCAGTGAGGAGTCGTCGGGATCCTCCACCTTGCACTTCAGCACCACGGTGCCACCTGCCACCACCGTCTCATCGGATGTTGTGGGCTGGCTCTCTGGGGGCAAACGGGGAGACGTCAGCTTGGGCTGAGCCCCCTGCTCCAGGGCCCGCCCTGCGCTGGGCACCATCCCTCTCCCAGCAACCCGGGCTCCTGCCCTGTGTGCGCTGGGATGAAGGTGAAAGACCGTCTTTGGCCAGATGGAAGCATGACCCCTGCCGCTGGCTGACCTTGCTGCATGTCTGTGCCTGGGCCTTGGGAGGCACATTCCAGCCACCCCACTCCCTGGGGTCATGGCCCCGAGTTTTCATCCCGCCTCTGCTCCTTTGCCTGTCCGGAGCCAAAAGCCCTTGGCCAGTAGCCCCAGCACACAGCACTGGCTGTAGGCGGCTCCACTCCCACTGGCTGTACAAAGAGGCCTTTCTCCTGTTGTGCCCAACTCACCCCTCCCCCCCACCCCTAGATAGCAGCTGCTGGGTCTCTGCAAGGGCCCATGCCCACAGCAGGACAACACACTGGCCATGTGAGCTGGGTGCAGAGTCAGCACTAGGCCGGTCATTCACCCTGGGCTCGCTGGCATCACCCATATGGAGCAGATCCTGATTCCAGGCAGCACCTGGCACTGCTCTTTCCATAGGGACTGGTGTGGCCTTCTGCCTATGATGCAGTCTGACCAGGATCTGCGCCTGAGCCCCCTGCACCCACCATGTATGTCAGAACCGCCAAGGGCAGTTGGGACTGTAACCCACGAGCCCA